GAAACAGGTCTAACGAAAGAGGAGGTGGAATTGCATTATATACAAAACATCACTACATTTCTACACAAAACTAAGGATGAGAACCTCATAGAATCCATATGGGTTAATATAAAAATGACATTACTACAGGCCATCCAACCAAGCAGAAAAAATAGATGAATTTTTGGCTAATCAATTAATAAATGTATGTAAGAAACATACCACATGTGATATGTTTCCTACATGCATTTGTTAATTTATTAGCTTTAACTTTTACTGATTAGCTTTAGTAAACATTAGTTAGCATTAGTTAATATCAACTGGACACAAACTCTGTAGCAAGTGGAAGATTGAACAGATCCCTAACAACTTTGTTATCCAAAAGGTAGAGGAGGGAACTAGAAGAAAAGCTATACTGGACGTAATTCGTATTAATATAGAAGAAGTGATGGAATTGAAATTGGGCAAGAGTGACCATGTCATATTGGAATTAACCCAAGCAATAGAATGTAATCCAACTACTGTCTTATACTTTAAAAGAGCTGATTTTTACAAACTCAGAGGGAGAGTAAGAAAAAAGTCCATGGATAAAAATCCTAAAGGGGAAAATAATTCAAGAAGCATGGGAAACTCTGAAAAATATGATCATAAAAGCCCGGTCCAATACAATACCACTGAAAAAGAAAAACAAGAAATGCAAGAAGAAATCAGTGTGGTTGCATAAAGATCTCTCTGATAAACTGAAAGACAAGAAGGATAGTACAAAAAAGGACAAATAAATAAGGCAGAATATCTGCAAATAGATGTTGAGACTTTTGAAAAAGTGCAAAGAAAGCAACTAAGATGATTAAGAGCCTGAAGACAAAAAAGAAGAAGTTGTAGGTGCTTCATCACTGGAGATTTTAAAGAAAAGACCAAACAACCATTTTTTGAAATGGTATAGGGCCGTGATGCTGAACCTATGGCACACGTGCCAGAAGTGACACGCAGAGCCATTTCTCTGGGCATGCGGAGCCATCGCTCGTTGCTCTTCTGGGTTCCAGTGCGCCAGCCAGCTGGACTTCATGTGAGCATGTGCACCAAAAATCAGAAGAGCAGCTACCAGGTGCGTATGCGTGCACCAGGAAGATCATCTTGTTTCCAACGTGCGCATGTGCGTCTGCCACTTGGTCTGGTTTCTGGTGCGCACGCAGGTGCAAAGACCAGCAAAGGGAAGAGTATTGGGCGTGCATGCCAAAATATCCAGAGAGGGGCAGAGCTGAGGGGCAGGACGGGCGGGCCAGGGCTTCCCTCCCTCTCCGCCTGAGTGGGGTTGTTGTGTGGCTCCAGCCCACGGTGCATCCGTGCTCCAGAGCACCTGGCCAGCTTGGGTGCCCCAGAAGAGCCACCTGCCCCATGCAGTCCCCCTTCCCACCACTTTTGCCAAGGTGGCGCGACCGTTTCTGTCCCTGGCGTTCTTCTCACCCAGCTCAGCATGCCGGCAATTCAGGCAGCTCGCCTCCCCGCCAGAAGCTCCTCTAGCATTCTGCCTGGAAGCGGCAGCCCAACAGCCACTGCTGCTGCCGGGGGCGAGGGGGCAGCGGAGGCATGAATGGGCAGGCCAAGGCTTCCCTCCCTCCCCCCCCCCGAGCATGCTTCTTGCATGGCCGCAACCTTCCAACCTGCGGCACTGACGCGCATCTGTGCTCTGGAGCGCCTGGCCGGCTTGGGCCCCCCAGAAGAGTTTGCCAGCCCCCCTTTCCCCCACTTTTGCCAAGGAGGTGCGATTGCTTCTGTCCCTGGCATTCCTCCCACCCAGCTCAGCACGCCAGCGATCAGGCTCTTAGTGGCATCTCCATTTGGGTAGCTCGCCTCCCCACCAGAAGCTCCTCCTCCAGCTGGCAGGTCTGCTCCCCTTGCTCTTCTGGGTTCCAGCACACTGGCCAGCTTGGGCATGAGGCAGCCGTCCACCCAACCAGCAAACACTGTCCTGTGTACCCAAGGTGGCCAAGCACTCCGGAGCACAGATGTGCATCAGTGCCGCGGGCTGGAGGTTTGGGGCCACACAAGAAGCACACTCAGGGGGGATGGAGGGAAGCCCTGGCCTGCCTGCCCACGCCTCCACTGCCCCCTCGCCTCTGGCAGCAGCAGCGGCTGTTGCACATGAGGTGGGTATCCATATCAGTCTCTGCAATAAATAAAGAGAAGGCGTCGCTTCTGGGTGATTTCCTGTTTGGGGACAAAATCCAAGTGATCCCAGGGAAGGAGGAATTTGCATTCTGTCTGGGTCCCCTGTCTTGAATGGGGAGGGAAAAAGATCCCTTCCCCACCCCTTCCTTCTCTTTGGATTGTTTTGTAGGTACAAATAACTGAATCAGCCTCAAATCCATCAGAATTCTGCCTTCTTCAGCAGCGACCTTTGCTTCGCGGCATCTGTGGACCCCCCCTTACCCTCCCCCTCCTTCCCATGTCTCCCTTCATAGGAGTTTTCCTCCCGGATCCGCTGCCACAAACGATCCAGAGTGCATTTGTGACACTTCTTTACACGCTTCTTCCGTAGCTGAGCCAGGCTCTCAACAACCCTCCCAAAAGATCCAGGTGCTGCCCAGCAGCCCCGGCAGGATCTGATGGAGTCCCTGCCCCCGTTGGAGACAAAAGGGATCCAGCGGGAGAGCTTCTCAGAGAGGCTGGACAAGAGGAAGGAAGAGGCTCCCAGGAGGACGGAGCTCTTGGAAGGGCTCAATGGCCAGTTCGCAGGCTCCTTCTGGCCCTCCAGCACCGCCTGGCTGCCTCTTCAAAGGGCTCAGCTGAGTCTCCGGGGCTGTAGAGTCCTCTGAGGTCAGCAGAGGGAGCTGGGTGTGTGTGAATGCTTCGGCTGATGGGGAGGGAGGGTGCTCCCTGTGGGAAAGGCAGGGGAGCCTTGGAAGCTGCTTAAGGGAGACCAAAATCCTCTCTCCTCCCTTTTCTCTTTTGCTCTCTTGACACTTCCTTTGTATGGACTTGATGGCATCCTCTCCCTTGACAGTGTCCTCATCTCCTCAGAGCACCTGCCCTCCGCCTTGCCCTGCCAGGCTGCTCTGGAGCCCCTCCAGGAAAACTGGGCCAAGAGCCAAGGAGCTTCCTCCCAAGTTGACACCGCTTCCTTCCCATCGGGGCTCCATCTCCAGAGGCTGCAGGGGCCCCGCCAAGGGGAGGGGGAGGGGAGGAAGCAGGTGGGAAGGGGGGCTGTGTGGGGAGTGGCCCGGCTCTTCTGGGGCGGCACAGGAACTAAGTCGCATGGGAGGAATGCTGGGAACAGAAACAGTCGCGCTTTCTTGGCAAAAGTGGTGAGAAGGGGGGCTGCACAGGATGCTGGAGGACCTGCCCACATGGAGCACTTGACCACCCAGCCAGCAAATGCTTGCCAGAAGAACACTGGGGTAAGAGATGCGCTGGCTGGGAAGCAGTCACGTTCCCTTGGCAGAAGTGGGGTGTGTATGTTTCTGCTGGCTTGTTCTCAGTGGTGGGCTGGAGAGGGGCGCTTCATCCCAGCCAGAGTTGGGGCAAAGGTCTCCCACCTTCTGGCTCCACAACCCAAACACCAGGAACACTGCTATCCCTTTCCTTCAAGGCCAGGAAGGGGGTCCAGATTTCCAGTGGAGGGAAGCGGCATTTCCCACCCACATTTCTTTCCCTGTCCAGGGCTGTGGAACCAGGTTGTCGGTAGGGATGTCCCGCCATCCCGATGGGGCAGGCAGAGAGACGCGAGGACCCCCAAAATGCCAAGTGGATCCAGCGCATGTGCACTGGCCAGCTGGTCTGCACATGTGCACCAGAAACCAGAAGACCAGGCACACTGGAAACCGGAAGATCATGTGGGCTTTTTTGGTTTCCGGCACATGGGAGCGTGTGCGTTCCCGCCCACGCTCTATTTTGGCACACAGTGCCAAAAAGGTTAGCCATCGCTGGTATAGAGTCTCCTGCTTGAGCAGGGGGTTGGACTAGAAGACACTTCAGCTCTATTCTGATTGAAGATTGCAGTTGACAGCCAGCAGAGAAAGGAAGATTCTCACCTGCAAGTTATACACAAAACCAAGAAATTGTAACCTATGCCGCATGTCACTGTAGAAATGTCTACCAATCTGACAGGAATCCAAATGGGATAAACAATGCTATGCCAAATAAATAACTTGCAAATAACATATTGTTTTTTGTATTTCATTTACTAACACTAAATATGTTAAAATGTATTTTACTTATACAAGTTCCAGCTTTCTAACAGAATGGATCATTCTGAAATTATGACTTGTCAATTTTATATCAAAACCTCACAAGATGGAAACTTCATGAATGGTTGCTTTGATAGTTGCACATTAAACAATGACAAAGAGAATTAGCTTAACTAGTTTTTACAAGATGGAAGTTTTTAAAATAATGCTCTAAACAATCAAATTCAATGAACTGAATTTCTAGTTCTACAGAAGGTAAAGTCTAGATATTCATGCCACTGATGTGAAAGCAACATTTATCTTGGGAGCAACAGTTTGGATTATGGCTCTAAATAAGTCATCAAAAATAGTGCAGTAGAACTTATACAAAATATTTAATTGCACAAATCTCAATAATTTTACAAAACTAATTCTATGCGTTCTTTTTGTAGACATTTTCTGTTCAATCCACACAGCACATATACGTAAGTTTTAATCCAAACAGGCTGGATATACTTCTATGGTATCATGGCTCTTATCCCTTTAAGACCTGTAAAGACAGACATTCCAATAGTGTACCTCTCTCCTCACCATACAGTAGATGAAAAAATAGTACTTCTTAAATATTTTTGGACTAGGTTTCTTAACAAGACTAAGGTGATATCCTTCTGAAATACAGGGCTTCAAGGCCTCTGGACAGTATGAGTTCTGTATAAGTTACATTTTTGAAGATTATCTCTTACTAGATTTACCATACATTCTAGATTTTAAAATTCATTACAGAAAAAGAAAAAAACCTAATCCCTGTCCAGTTTTGAAATTTATCTAAACATTATTTGGGAATATTCTGTATTATTTAAATTTATTTGCTTCTTTATGTACCCCGTACCACAAGGCAATGACAGAAATTGAATAAATGGCTATTTCGTTCTTCTATAAACACTATAAGACAAACTCTCATCCCTGATAATACAATCCCACTGATTCTATACAGTGAAACAGCTAGAGGCCTAAGCTAATAAGGACTTCTGCTGTGTAGGCTTTCTTCCACTGAATGAGAAGTGATCAAACATGTTTGAATGATCAAACATGTTCCTCCTTAAGGCTACCTCCTAATTCATTTCAGAGGAAATATTAGAAAGAATACAAGGTATACCAGCCTATTCTGCTACTCCTGTCATGAAACAACGAGCTCCTCCTGAATGTTTTAAGATTAATGCATGTTCTTCCCACTGAGAAGGAACAAGATAACAGCAATTAATTTGAACCTTCAAAATTTCCATTTTATTTAAAAAAATCATAAGTTTTCCATGACTTTTCTTTCAACATTGGTTAAAGCTGTGGCTACTGCTGACAGGATTATGACATCAGCGCAGGAGGAACATTTAAGAAGATGGCATGAAAGGCATGTCTGAGAATGCTGAGTTTGTGGAATCGCAGTCTGCTTTTGTTCGGGGTGTTTTCAGGATGCTTTCAGCAATTATAGTCTCATTGGGAAATATTCTGATTTTCCCATTTTGACCTGGTTTAGGTTCCTTCACAGGTTCAAGAAACACCACCCTTTTGCCACTGCTAGCTTTCTTCTCATCGACTGGAAGTTTGAGTGGTGTGTTGGAGGTTAATATGGATGCATGAGATGTGCTATTTTGGTTTAGTTGCCTTTTTCTTTTCTTTGATTTGCACTTACAAGGACAGGGCGTCAAGTAGAGGTAAAGAAGTACCAAAATAATACTGGCTACACAAGCTGCAAGGGTTGTAAAAGCAGTGTTAAATGTTTCATGTGAGTAAGATTTGTCCACTGTGAAATTGCTGACATTTATTCTTACTTCAATTGTTTCATTCAGTAATCTTTTCTTATTTATTGCAATGCAGGAATAAAGTCCAGAGTCTTCATACTGAGCATTATCTATTTCCAGGCTCCCATTATGAAATACTTTGAACTGTTCAGTTGTCTTTCCTGGCTCTAAAACTTGATTATCTGGCCTGATCCAAATAAAACTAGTCCCAGCATCACTGATTTTGGTATCACAGGGTACTATAATTCGCTCACCAATTTGTGCTTCATGAATAAATCCAAAGGCATGAAAAGAACCATTAATGGTGCTTTCTGAACAATTTAAATAATTGTTCTGCAATAAAGGCAGTTTTTGGGAGTCTTTATTGCATGTGTATTCAGTCTTGAAGTTTTCCACTGAAGTAAAATGTCGAAGATACCACAAGTTCAGCATGGAATAAAGTATGCAGCCACAATGAAATGGGTTCCCATGAAGATAAATTCCACTTAAGTGTCGGGCTGGTACTAATCTCATGTCATTAACTGGTATTGATTGGATCTGATTATAAGAAAGATCTAAGAATACAAGTTCTGAGAGCTTGTATTTCCCAGTATAGAGTTCAATTGGGAAGCGTGTGAGAGAGTTGTAACTTAAATACAGCTTTTGAAGGGTATGAATTCCTCCAAAAGCAGCAGAATCAACCTGTGCAATATGATTGTTATAAAGCAACAGAATCTCCAGCATTCTCAGTTCCTGAAATATAGAACTGCCCAATAACTTCAAATTGTTGGATGACAGGTCTAGGTACTTGATATTTGGAACAACTGAGAAGCTCCCAATAGAAATACTGAAAATGTTGTTATGATTGAGGATGAGGGTGTTCAACTTCTCAAGCAGCATGGGTATCCAGTCTTGGTCCAAAATCCCAATTTTGTTGTGACTCATATCCAGTCTTTTTATGTGTTTGAAAAGAGTTGATGGCACTCTTGAGAGGTTTCTGCTGGTGCAGCTCATAATGTCACTGGCACAGATGCAAGTGGTGGGGCACATTAAAGAGGCATTACAACATACACTTACAGTGAAAATTAAGAGGCAACCCAACCTCTTGTAGTTCCCATGAAGAGAGAGAATAGTGTGCCAAACAAAAGACATGACTGTATTTTAGCCGTCTTCCAATTTTCCTTGCCACCCTTTAGGCATGTAGGTCACTTTGTACCAATCACTGTTAAGACAGAAAGGGAGAGAGATACAATTTTTTTAAAAAAAGATATTAATATATAAAAGTATTCAACATTTACCATATTCACCCAAAAAGTTGCTCATAGATTTATGATCACCGCTTCTTGTTGGGATTAATGGATAAGCAACTAAAAAAGAGCCACAGACAATTATTTTTATATACAATGGTACCTTGGTACTCATTTTTAATTGGTAATGGGAAGCATGATGCGTACCAAAAACAAGGAGTAGCAAACAATTTTTTCCTGTAAGGAATAATGTAGTGAGTCACAAGGCAGCCGACACAGACAAGTTTTAGCTGGGACAAAATGTTGACATCAAAATATGCTGAGTATTAAATTTGACAGGATTAAATTTGATAAAATGAGATTAAATTTCAAAGCAACTGAATACCAAGGTACCACTATATTATCACTCTGCAAAACTATTACTGTATATGTAATAGTTTTGCAGATATATATACTGTATATATTATCACTCTGCAAAACTATTACTGTATACTGCAAAAAAGTGAAAAGACTTTAAAATATCCACAATAGAAGAATGGTTGATGAAGATAAAAGAAGTAGTGAAGATGAAAAAATTAACTTACAGTCTTAGAAAAGATCAACTATTACATTTATTAGTGACTGGAAAACCTTCATGGATTTTTATTTTTGCTAAAATATATAAAGAACTTGTGATTTATAGGATTGTCAATTAGAAAGGATGGCTTATGGAAGCTAGAAATTATGATGTATACTTAGAGAGAGAGGGTAAAATATAAATGCTTTATAGCCATAGTCAAAAAGATTGGAAGCTACTTCTTTAAAATCTTTTCTTGTATTTTTCTTTGTTTCTCTACTTTCTTTTTCTACTTTTACATTTACTATTATTCTGTATTTCCCTTTCTTTTTTAATATTTGTATTGCTTTTATCATTAATCTTTTAAAATAATAATTATATTTTAAAAGTTTATTATCACCATTTTTCCCTTTATGCCCATCCTTCACTCCCATGGAAAAATAGACAGAAAATAATTATACAACTCACTAAGCAACTTCCTTATTTATCAATATTAAAAGTTACTAACAATGCTAGAAGCTAGCATTGAACATGCTAATATGAGAAAATTCACCTCACGATGTCAGAAATGGTTGTATTCATATAGAAGGAAAGGATTAATGTGGTGTATCAGATACGGGTCAACTGGATCAAACGTGTGGACTTGGTGTTCAAAATGCCAACCACAAAAATGTTGTAGTGCTTGATCCGCTAATGCAAATCCTGGAAAGGTAGCCAACTCTCACTAAACTGAATTCAAATGTTTCTACAAGTGGTAAAATCCAGTTGATATGAAAGCAGGTTTTATTAATTTGGTAATAAGGTCACTTTGGGAAGATATGATCTTATTTTCTCCTACATTTTTGTGTAGTTCAGCTGGAACAGCAAGTCCCAGAATTCCCAGCCAGCAGAGCTCATAGACACTTTGGAATTATAGCTTAGGCTAGCACTTAGGCTATAAGAAAAAAGTCAAGGAAATGATCGCTCTACTAATGGGAGAACCACTGAACTATATCTTCCAAAGATCCTGGAGCACTGGGGAACTACCAGAGGACTGGAAAAGAGCTGACGTAGTTCCCATCTTCAAAAAAGGAAAGAAATAGATCCAGGAAACTACAGACCTATCAGCCTGACCTCAATAACTGGGAAGATTCTGGAAAAGATTGTCAATCAGTGAACAACTGGAGGCAAACAAAGTTATAACCAAACAGGTTTGTCAAAAACAGATCATGCCAGACAAATCTTATTTTATTCTTTGACAAGGTGACAAAATTAGTGGACCAGAAGAATACTGTGGATATAATTTACTTGGATTTCAGCCAGGCATTTGACAAAGTAGACCACAATCTACTACTTGATAAGAGAGAAAAATGTGGGTTAGACAACATCACCACCAGATGGATTTGTAACTGGCTGCATTTAACGAGTAGTCCTCAATGGAACTGCATCTACATGGAGGGAAGTATGCAGTGGGGTACCCCAAGACTCCATTTTAGCCCCAGTACTCCTCAACATTTTCATCAATGATTTGGATGAGGAGATAGATGGGGAACTCATTACATTTGCAGATGACACCAAGCTTTCAGAAATAGTCAACACTCCAGAAGATAGGCTTAAGATTTAGAAGGATCTTGATAGATTTGAACATTGGGTTCTATCTAACAAAATGAAATTCAATGGTGAAAAAAGTAAGGTTCTACATTTAGGCAAGAAAAACAAAATGCACCTACTTTACAGGTGGTACCTTGCTCAATAGTAGTAACTGCGAGAGAAATCTCGCAGTCCTAGTGGACAATTGTTTAAATATGAGCCAGCAGTGTGCTGCAGTTCCCCAAAAAGCCAACACAATTCTAGGCTGCATTAACAGAGGGATAAAATCAAGATCATGTGTGAAGTGTTAATACCACTTATAATGCCTTGGTTGCTGGAATTGGGTATGTCTAGTTTAATGAAAAGAAGGACTAGGGGTGACATGATAGTAGTGGTCCAGAAAGCAATCTCAGGGATTGCCACAAAGAAGAGAGAGTCAACCTATTCTCCAAAGCACCTGAGGACAAGAAGCAATGGATGGAAACTAATCAAGGAGAGGAGAAAAAAATTGGTTACAGAATTATAGCTGTCAATTTGTGACAATTTTTGGAGATAGAACAAACTTTGGAAAATGATATTTACACACATACTTATTGGCTCTCCACTCATATAAACCAGGGAGTGCCCCTAACTGTTTGAGAACATGTATTTTCTTAACAGATGTTTTTATCCACTATTAATGTGTCAGTATTTTTATGCATATTGTAAATAGTGATGTTTATTGCTGGTTTAAGACCGTAATAAAGTTATATTCATTCAATCAAGGAGAGAAGCAACCTAGAATTAGGAAGAAACTTCCTCACAGTTAGAACAATTAGAATGTTCCAATGCTGGAAATTTTAAAGAAGAGATTGGACAATCATTGGTTTGAAATGGTATCGGGTTTCCTGCCTGAATAGGGAGTTGGACTAGAACAGGGGTCTCCAATCTTGGCAATTTTAAGACTTGTGGACTTGAATTCCCAGAGTTCCTCAGTCAGCAAAGCTGGACTAGAAGACCTCCAAGGTCCCTTCCAACTCTGTTATTCTATTCTATTTGTCACATTTCAAGGCACAAATTACTATATTTGCTATCATACATGTCAATGGTTTCTCATTTTTGATTAGGAATCACAGATAGTCTACAAAAATTCTATAGGTAGTTTCTGGTGACAGCAAATAAATAAATTTAAATATCTCTCAAGGGTACCATTCTTTCATGAAATCTCATACCAGTTTCCTTTTTTTTTTTAAAAAAAATGGACTTTTTAAAGAAAAATGTAAATAAGTACAAAAGAGAACATAAAAACAAAAAATTAATATAATACAGATTAACAAGTTAGGGATTTAAAAATATCATATATCATATGTATTTCTAATATATTGTAAATTAGTTATAAATAGGTTTATATATATATATATGTATGTATGTATGTATGTATGTGTACACACACACACACACACACACACACACACACACACAAGCACTATATCATCTAACAGGTGAAGTTCACCATTAAATGAACTGAAAATAAATATCAAGAACTTGTGTCAATACAATATAAATTACTGAATGAAATTATATACTAATTTCAATGGATATTACAAAGAATCTATTTTGAATATCTCTCACGAACTGAAATATAAATTCTATGTATAAGTAAACCCATCTTCCATCTTCCCCCTCTTCTTCTCTCTCCCCTTTTTATTCCCTTTTCTATCTGATTTTCCCTTCTGTGATCCTCCCTTCTGCTTCTTCCTAATGTTATAGTTACTTTTCAAATTACTCTTTTGTTGTTGTTGTTGCTTCAAGTTTTAAGTTTTTAACTCCCTTTCCCCCCTTTCCCTTTTTTACCCCGCTTAAAGTTGCTTGGTCATTAAAGATGGCTTCTTCTTTGTCCCACCCTTCTTGTTCTGACCTGACCATTTTTTTTTAAGTACTATACTTTAATACTGTTTCATTGAAATAAATGAATTTAATGCTGTTTCATTCAAATTCTCACTGTTGCATTTTTTCTACATTCAACTTCAATCCCTTTATTCACACAATTTTTGATCTCATTGGTTTTGGGTCATACTTTACCAAGTCTATAAATAAGGTCTAGTGAATTTCTAAATTATTCACCATTGTGAAGTAAGAGTTTCAAAGAGTTTCAAAATATTCTATCTTTGCTTTATTAATAATTAAATCTATGCAACTTTCTATTAAATTTGAAAATGGAAGATGAACAAGTAAAAGAAACAATGATACAGTGAGCAAAAAACTTTAGATATAACATAGAACTAGAGAAATGGCATAACATATGGGAAATAAATTATAAGTTAACAATGGCAACTTCTTATAAAGAAAACTTATATAAAAAGTTTTATAGATGGCACTTACACCTGCCAGTTAGCCAAAATGTTCAAAAACATGCCTAGTAAATGTTGGAAATGTAACAGAAATCTGGCACATATCTGTGGTGGACTTGTATTAAAGCAAAAAAAAAAGGGGGGGGGGAATACACATGTGGTTAGAAAAGATGTTAGGAAACATGTAGATCTTTAACCTGAATTTTAATTAGCTATAGTTAGTACCAGAAAAAATGATAAACAAAGTGTACATTTAATATTGCATGTATTAACAGCAGCAAGGATTGTATTTGCTCAGCATTGGAAAAATAAACACCACTAGATGAAGAGATAATTAATAAGCTATTGGACTGTGCAGAAATGGGCAGACTTGCATTGAAGATCAAACCGAAAGAAGATACAGAATACTATCAAACATGGAATTTATTTTATCAATGGCTGGAAAAAAGGGGCAAAGATTAGGAATATAATTCATATTGTTACGCAAATAAAATAACCCAGTGTAATAATTAAGTGTAATAGTAGAAAATTAATAAAACTTAAATAAAAATGCTTTTATGTTCTGGTCCTTTTTAAAAATATTGATTTATTACCTGATCTAGGTAGGAATATGAGACATGACAATCATATTCAATAGTAATATGCCACAAGAAAAAAATAATAATTTAAAATTACTTTGATATAACTGTTCCTTATCATTCAAAAAGAGTATATTAGAAAATAAGTGACAATCTCACATAATAAGAAAAAACAATGGTGTGCTGCTGTTTTCAAAGTCTTTGAGTGGTTTTCTGTTTAATATCATAGGATGATATACTAAAGATGAAACAGACGACTTATTTTTTCCACTTCCATCTACTTATATATTCTTCACACTGGTAATAAGATATATTCTACTTATCAACAGTCTGAATCTTATAGAGAATGCTGTTTTATAAGTAGCATTTTCATTATAGCAAATGTGCTTTGATTCTCAATGTCACATATTGTATCAGGTGCTTACAGATAAAACAGGATAAAAGATTTTAACAAAAATGTAGTACAGGGTATTACTATTATTTAGTATTTAAAATTATAGCCTGATGTACAGTCTGACTGGTTTCCCTAATTAGAGGAAATAAATTCATGGCTATATATTGTTAATTAGGCATCTTTAAGAAAAGACTGAATGCTTTTCACAGGGACATCAAAATACCATTATCAGGATCTTGATAGCTCTAGAGCAGTGGTGGCTAACCTTTTGGGCTCCTGTGCCAAAAATTGTGCATTCACGCCCCCCCACCTCCTACGCATATATGCGCAATCCCCACCCACTCACCCATTCTGATGGCCCCTTACCTGCACTGTGCCTCACAGCTGATTTTTGGCTGGTTTGAGGCCTTTTTCGGCCTCCCAGAGGCTTGAGGAAGGCTTCTGCAGGCTTTGCGGGCCGAAAACTAGCCCTGTTTCGTCACTTCCAGTATTTTCAGAAAAACAGGAAGTGACGAATTGGGCCTAGTTTTCAGCCTGCAAAGCCTACAGAAGCCTGCAGAAAATCAGCTGAGGCGCATGCATGCGCAGTGAGGTAAGTTTGCTTGCAGCTCGCGTGCCGGCACAAATGGCTCTGTGTGCCACCTGTGGCACGCGTGCCATAGGTTCGCCATCATGGCTCTAGACCATGGGTCTTCAAACTTGGCAAGTTTAAGACTTGTGGACTTCAACTCCCAGAATTCCTGAACTAACATGACTAGAGGAGTTGAAGTCCATAAGTCTTAAAGCTGTCAAGTTTGAAGACCCCTGCTCTGGACCCAAAGTTCCCCAAATTCTTCAACTTCTTCATTAAATTTGAGATCTTTCATCAACTTCCAAACATTATATGAAAATAATTTAAAACTAATACTTTAACTAATAATATTACAAATAATAATGATTATGGTTATAATGGCTAGTCCCATCAATGGTTGGGGTTCAATACTGACGACTTTGGAAAAGCTCGCTGTAGATGGTAGTTTGGAGTCTGTTCCTAAAGATGCTTTAGAATAAGTCTGTCTGCAATTCATGTTATGTCCTGGGATCATCTGGCCTCTGCACATGGGTTATGTGATCTTATTAAAAGATGAGACTGCCTTCATTAAAGCAATGAAAAGATAGGAACTACATTGCAGTGCAACTTTTCAGAACTATTTAAGAAGCACTTCGTCCTAATGTCTACTTATGTACAGCATGAAAATACAACCTGAACCACATAACTCAGTAACCAAAACTTGCAGGTTCAAAGTTAAGAAATATTGGATCTTGGTTCAGCAGTTCCTCTTTTCATCTTCCATGAAGTACACTAAACATTATCAAAGAGGCCCTGCCCATGTCTTCTTTGAACTACCCGCTGGAGCAAACATTATTTTTATTAGTATTTTATAAATGAAGGTAAGAAATTATGATTTATTTGATGTAAGACTTGAATTTTTCTTTTTTCCTGGCAAATGTCTAGACAAGGATCTGCAATTTACTGGCAAGATTTTCAGAAGTTGTTTTGTTAATGCCTGCTGGGTGAGAGATAGTGGCCCAAAGTCATCCATCTGATTTCATGCCAAGACTGGGATTAGAACTCAAGACTCCCAGTTTACGCCTTTTACCGCCACTACTGGTTCTGAATCCATATCTATCATGCCCAAATCTAAATTTGCAAGCAAGGTGGAAGAAGCGGAGGTGCCAGCAGCTTGAATTCAATCTCTAGCAGTTACTAAAGCCCTTTGTGGCCAGCATAGACAAAATTACATGATGCAGCAGCATTAGAGAAACTACTGAGTTTCATTTCTATGTTTGAGGACAACCTGAAACACAGAGAACTGACTATTATTGCAATCTTACATTTTGTACAAAATGTCTAGGATTAAAGGGGTTTATGTTATTATTCTTTTTCAATTAAAATGTTGAAAAGAAGTACTTATAATTTAAATAGTCTAAGAATGGAAATGATGTTTTCTTTCAAAATGCCACGAAAGAGCAAAATTATTAAATATTTTTGCTTGTTTATTTGTTATATCCACAGTAAGCATCAAAATCCACTGGCTGAAAGATTTTCTTCCAGTTTGATTAGATTTTTTAGTTATACTGTGAAAAAAAATATCAGTAATATTATGACTTAATTTTTTCTGCTTTGTTGGACAACGAAATGAGTCATGTGTATTTGCACTTTTTAAAACATGAGAACATGCGGTTCTTTCTTACAAAAATCAGAATCAATTAGAATAGAGCTGGAAGGGACCTTGGGAGTCTTCTAGTCCAACCCTTTGCTAAAGCAGGAGACCTTATACCATTTCAGATAGTTTCTGTCCAGTATTTTTCTTAAAAACATCCAATGAAGAACTACCTACAACTTCTATAGGCAAGCTGTTCCACTGGTTAATTATCCTCACTGTTAGGAAGTTTCTCCTGAATTCCAGATTGTCTCTCTCCTCAATTAATTTCCATCCATTATTTGTCTTGCCTTCTGGTGCTTTGGAAAATAAGTTGATCCTCTCTACTTTGTGTCAGCCCCTCAAATACTGGAATACTACTATCATGTCACCCCTAAGGAAAGTTTCTTATACAGTTTTGATTTTTTTTTTTAAAAAAAACCTTCTGATTACACTTACATATCATGTTAAAATAGTGGTGTCAAACTCAAGCCCCACAGGCCAGATCCGGCCCACGATGTGGCAAGATCTGACCTGTGGGGATGTCCTGGAGACAGTGAAGGTCCAGCCCCAGATGCCTCAGCTCCGGCCCAGGTTGGCCTGGTGCTGATCAATAACTTGATGGCCACATACTGGACCGGACCGCGCCCTGCCTTAGAACTGCAGCTATCCTAGAGCCAGTGAGGGCCACCTCCACCCTGCCCCCTGGAGGGGGCAAATGCGTGGGGCCTGGTGTCCCTGGGGACTGTCTTGCCCCACAAGCTATGTTCTGAGTGCTTACCTTTCACCCAGGATGCATGCGCTCACCGCCTCCTGTGCGCACGCCCAAGGGAGGCAGGGTTGAGGTGGTGGATTGCTCTCTCACTGGCTCCAGGGCGACTGCACGGGTTGGATCTAAGGCTGACCATGTTTTGGCCTGCACCAAATTGTAGACCAGTACTGTGCCCACACTGGCACCTCTATGCCCCACACGCATTTAGGACTATGGTGCTTCTGCCTGCAAGTATGCAATGGGCGATCACAGGGGCTGTGAGGGGAATGCAGCAGGCAAATGGCAGTGGTGTATGGCTTCTGGCATTGTGGGGGGGAGCAGAACTCCTCTTTCGGCATCAGGCATGTCAGTCCAGGTGTGGAGGCAACGGAGGGGAGGACAAAAAAGAGAAGCCACTGCTCTGCAGGTTGCCTCTGTGCCTGATGGGCCTCTGTGTGGCTCTCAGCTCTCCTTTCCCAGACCCGCATGTGTGTGTGTGGGCACAGGGGAGGTCTCTCCTTTTGAAGCCCTATGCTGTGACATTGGGGAGGAAAAGAACAGAATAAGAGAAGCTGGAATGGGGGCTTCTTGCAGCCTTCCATGGGGCTGGGGGCGGAGGGCGCAATGTGATTGGCAGCGGGTTGTGGGGGATGTGAAGTCCAGAGTACCTTGAGCACACACCACTGAGGTGGTAATAGGTTAGAAAATAAGCAAGCACTCCAAAAAACCAGCTTTCATGAATTTGCAGCTTGTCAACTAAGGTCTCTGTTGAGGGCACAGGGCTGCAAGGGTTGAAACTCCCCCCCCATGCATGCACGCACATGCACACACACATAGAAACTAACATGTGTGTGGGTCGGGGAGAGGCGAGCTGAGAGCCACCCAGAGGCCCTGTCAGCCGCAGAGGTAACGACAGGGGACAATGGCATCAAAATGCCTCTGTCCTCTGTCTACCACTGCCTGCCTGTTGCCAGCTCTGCCTGGAGCCTCTGTTAGCTTAAAAAAAAAAAAGGAAGGCGAGGGAGGGAAGAAGGAAATGAGAAGGAGGGAGGCAGGGAATGAGAGAGGGAGGGAAAGAGGAAGGAAGGAAAGAGGGGCAACTTGGTTGGAGATGCCCCAGTTCAAAGGGGAAAAAAAATCAATTTTGTGTTCTGTTTTGTCACAGACAGAACTTTGTTGGCAATCCAAGTTAACATTGGTATTCTTGAACTGTGAGCTCTTAGGAAAGTATTTCCTCCTTGTGTGTTGCAAACAGCCATTTCCAATGGGGAAAACAGGACAAAGCAGAGTGGGGGAAAATATTTTTCTTTGCTATATTTCCAGTCTAAATTAGACGATGGCAGGGTCCCTACAGGAGAGCCCTTTTAAGGATTATGTATTAATAGAAAAGCAACTAACTTATTTCTGTTCCTAAATGCTAAAGCTGTTGCACATTAAAAAAAACAGAGGAACTCTGATCAACTACACAACCACCATTTTGACAGTTTTGCTGTACTATTGTCTGTGGACACCCCCACAAAATGCAAGAATGGGATAAACTGAGCCTGGTTTGTTCTCAGTCTTTTAAGTGACCATAAACTACTAGCAAAAGTGGCATTTGATCACAAGACAAGGAAGCATTGAGAAATGTTTCTCCTTTTGCATTTAAGCATCCAAGAAGGGACAGGAAAGAAGAAAGGGAAAGAGAAAAGACAAAGAAAAAAGGAAAGAGGAAAAGGGAGAAGAAAGGAAAACGAAGAGGGAAGGAAAAAGAAAAGGGAAGAAGGAAGGAAGATTATGAGAGGAATGGTTTGAGGGAAATCCTACCTTAGCACTTGGCCACCAGCAGCCCTGCTGCCCTTTTGCCATGCCCTTGTCCCCTCCTCCTGACCTCTCCTGGTGGTCTCCCATCCTATTGCTGAGGATGCTTTGGAGAGGGAGTGCACCTGCCTTTGACTCACACACTTTGCCCTCCCATATACACCATGAGCAACCTGGCCAAGGAGAGCGAACATAGCAGTAGCAGCTTCAACAAGGAGGTAAGTGCAGCTGGGCGCACCCTTGGGGAAGCATGGCTGGGCTGTGGGGTCCTGGTGCCCTGGGAGCTTGAGGCTGGATGCTTGCTCTCCATTGCCCAGGGCTCTGGGTGGTCTGCGCTGCCATCGTCCACATGGCCTGAGAGGGATGATGAGGCTCCTCTGGTGGACAAGAGTTTGGTGCTAGCCCTGATCTCATCTTCTGCTGGAGACAATGGATCCCCCCCAGCCCTACCCAGGCCACCATAGGTGCCCCCCCCAACAGGAGTGATGTTGAGCTGGACACGCCCAGCCTAGCCATGCCCATCTGCCCCCCTGAGGTCAACCACAAGCTTGATGTGGCCCTCAATAAAATCAAGTTTGACACCCCATGCTAAAACATAGTGTAGTTTGTTTGGTCTGGGCTTATTCTGAACTTAATGCATTGAACACAGTACTGTGGTCAGTACAGTACAATGGATGAAATATTGAAGGCATCAAGGACTGCAATTCAGCATCCTCCCTTTTTAAGCTGTTATAACTGACATGATTTAAAGGAAGATGACATCATGGGGAAGTAAGAACATTTGAAAAAGGAAAAGAAATTAAAAAAGGAAAGATGACACCCACAAATATGCAATCAGATCCCTTTAGGTATAATAGCAAGTGAAAAAAGGGTAGGATTTTAACTATGCAGAAATGGCTGCCATCTTTTTGTTTTACCTCTCTTTAAATTGGCCTGGTGAGATTATAGTTGTTTATAGCAGGAGTCCCCAACCCCAGTCTGTGGACCAGTACGAGTCTGTGGCTTATTAGGAATTGGGCCATGCAAGTGAGTGAAGCTTCATCTGTGCATTCACAGAATCTAGGTAGCACATGAAACTATGGCTCCCTTGGTCCGTGGAAAAGTATTTTTCCATGGAACCAGTCCCTGGTGCCCAAAAGGTTGGGGGCACTGGGAGCACATCCATAATCCAAACTGCAGAGCCAAATTGTAGATGGTCTTTTTTTATAATTTATGGAAAAAATTCAAAATATATTCTCTCTAAAATTCCTTTCCTAATACATTCCTAGCAGCAAGAACAAATGGAATTATGAAGGTCTGTTGTGTTTTTATATTAGTCATTTCATGTGCTCAGCAATGACCTTTCTGTATCAATATATTGTATTAAGAATGAGTACTT